CAGGCTCAGTAATTGTGGCTCACGGGCCCAGTTGCTCTGCGGCACATGGGATCTTCCCAGACCAGGGCTCAAACCTGTGTCCCCTGCATAGGCAGGCAGATTCTCAACCACTGTGCCACCAAGGAAGCCCTAAATGTAATTTTTAAAGCCCATATATATGACATCTTAGGGAATAAGACTTTGATTTGGAAAACACTGTATTAATAATGATGATGATGATGATGATGGTGATAACATATTAACTTGGCACTTACTGTGTATCAAGCACAGCATTAACCTACAAGGACCATTAATCTTCCCATTTTACAGATGGGGAAATTTGAGACTTAGAGACTTTGGTCACCCACTGTTAAGAAGTTAACCAGGGTTCAAAGTGAAGTCCTCCCATGTTGTGGAATGAGCAGAGGGTTGGAAATTCAGAAATTCGGTTTAGAGTCCTAGTTTAGCTATCTATTGGCAAGGCAACCATCATGTCACCCTTCGTCTGTAGAATATGCGTTGAGGGATGGGTTGCTAGGGTAGGGAGGAATTGGAAAACTTGAAATTTTTGAAGGCTCTGTAGCCCCTTCAACCTTTGCATTCTGTGGTTTTGACTGTATAACGGAGTAGTCACTCTGATAGTGACTCTGAGCTCAAAGGGATATGGTGACTGAGCCACACAATCTACTGAGAGGACAGGCACATCACCAAAAGGAAGGCATGCCATTGTCCAGTCAGTGTGGCTCTTGGTTTAGTTCATGCATTTTTTAAAGCTCTCCTCCAAGATCCTCATGGCTATGAATTTTTTTGTTTGTTTGTTTTTGTTTTCTTTGCAGTACGCGGGCCTCTCACTGTTGTGGCCCGTCCTGCCGCGGAGCACAGGCTCCGGACGCGCAGGCTCAGCGGCCATGGCTCACGGGCCTAGCCACTCCACGGCATGTGAGATCTTCCCGGACCAGGGCACGAACCCGCGTCCCCTGCATCGGCAGGCAGACTCTCAACCACTGCGCCACCAGGGAAGCCCATGGCTATGGTTTTGTACTCAGCCTAAGTATTGCCCTTTTCTTAATAGAGAAAGTAATAAGAGCGGTTTCTCTGGAAAAGGAAAACCTTGTTCTTTAATAAACAAAGGTCTTCTTGGCCATTGTCTGTGTTTTAAAACAATTCAGAAAGGGACTTTTTGTGATGTGTTCTCTTGAATTTTGTCATCTCTCTTTCACCTTGTAGTTCTGCTGCCCAAATATGGTAGACTAGAAGCCCTTCTAAGTCGAGATTTGGAGAGTCTGAATATTTCCAGGAAAACCCACAGAAGGGTCTTTTCAGGCTGCAGATGGGGACAGAAAAATATCAGGGGGTAAAAATCTCAGAAATGTCTAACTTTGGTTTTTTACATTGGGATATTACCTGCTGGTTCATTTTGGCTGCAGGGAAGTTATTGGGGCTTTGGGGTAATTCACTCTCTTTAGAGATAAAATAGTGGCCACTTTGGTCATTTAAAGCTCTGTGATGTTGGTCCCACTCTTGGGCTTTAGAAGAAAAGACATGTACGTTGAAGACAAACACCGGCTCTGCCATTTATTAGCTGTGTGGAGCCCAGATACTATTCCTGAACTTCTATTTCTCATCTGTAAAGTAGGAATCGAATCTTTATTTCAAAGTTTATCATGCAGTTGAAATGCAATAATACATGTAATATGCTTAGTCCAGTGCCTACCTGTAGTTCAATAGATGAGAACTAATCACATCATTCAAAAATAGCAAAGAGTAATACTCTGAGTTAGCAGAAGTAATACAAATAACACAGTATTCCCTGTTCATTGGGCAAGACCACCTACGAAATGTTTTCTTCCACCTTTTTGCCTCTTTAGCCTCTTTATAGCATGAGTAACAATCACAATAGATGCTGTGTCAATGAGCAAGAAGAATGGAAAATATTTAATGCAATACGCTTGTGTGCATGGAAGTTTCTATCAGAAATTACAATGCTTATGATCTGAATTCTTCTAAAAGGAAATTTAAGCTCAGAATGCTTTGTATGTGCATTAGCTATTATTTGGTACTTTCAGGAATATCCGCTATCTATGGTTGGTTGTGTTTATTTGTGAAAAGCAGAAATAGGAAGAAGAGATATGAAACTGTGCTGGATTAAAAAGAGTGCCTGAGGCATGGACAGAATATTAATATCGTTTGCACAAAAATGGGCTGAGCCAGTTGAGCTCAGATATCAAACCTATCTGTATACAGGAGGATGTTAATTTTCAGTGAAAAACCTTGGATAGATGCCAGTAAATTCCGGGAAAAGGAAATAATATTATACAGATTTCTTCTCTGCGATCTTTGATGTCCACAGAGAAACCCTTTCTGAAAAGACAACTATTTTCTTCTTTGGCTCATCTTTGAGAATTGCTGCAGCTAGGTCATTTTGTACCCAAAGACCACCACGAAGTTCAGAGAGGGTGGGAGGGGCCTTCCCATTAAATCCTTGGTCAACCATTTGCATTTTCCAAAAGTTAGTTGACAATTACAAGGTTTGGGAACTTTCAGTTATAATTGCACTGCAAAAATAATAAGAGGAAACAGGCAGAGGTTATGTTAACAGGCCCCTGGTGGCTGTCAAGGACATGTGGTTCAGCCTTTGAAGTCAGTTTCAGTAGATTTTCATGTGATATAAGTGGAGTAAAATGCCCCCCTTTCAGGTTTTACAAGTGATATTGTTTAATGTACTGATATTGTTTCTTGTAAATTTGTTTTAGGGAGTTATTTCCTCTGACTATTATTTCAGAACTCCTCTATTAAGCTAAGCAAAACAGGGGGTTGACATTACATCTCTATTTTTATGTTATTTAAAAAAATTAATTTAAGCACATGTTATTTTTTTTAAAAAAAGTAAAACAGACACAGAAAGCTAAAAGAATGTGAAGTAACAATCTCCCTTCCCTAGTCTCTCGTCATATCCCTTTCAAAATCTCTTTTTTTAATATGTCCAAAAAATACGAAAACAAAAACAAATTTTATGTGTAGACCCAGTCATATAGCAGACCCACTATATTGTATATTTTACCCAAATAGGTATATAAAATACTATTGAGTACTTTGATTTCTCACTTAACATATCTTGGAGACTTTTCAATATTATTGCATACAGATCTATTGTATTCTTTTTAACATCTGCACATCATCCTGTTGTTTGGATATACCATAATGTATACAACCAGTGATTTCTGTATCTTGTTACTACAAATAACACTGTAATGAACAGGATAAATTCCTTACATGGTATTTCTGGGTCAGAGGATAAGTGCATTTAAAATTTTGACATATATATAAATTAAGTTCCTACTAAGAGTATGTGCGAGTGCTTATTTTAGGCAGGTATTCTATTGTCGCTATCTGAGTGTTGTCCTCTACACCAGGTTGAAGGTGTGGTGTCAATCGATGTAAGCAGAATAAGTAAATAAAGGATAGAAACTTGGGTACAGCAAAGGTGTTAGTCAGGGTCCCATAGGGGAACAGAAGACACACTCAAATTGAAATAATTTAAGGATGAGTCATTTACAAAGAGACTGTTTACAATGATGCAAGTGGATAGAGGGGAAACCCATGGAATCATGCAATAATCTGCAGGTGGTGAATAGCAGCTGAGTTGTTACCACCTCTGAGCCATAACAGAGAGAGAAGATACTGGACCTCAAGGGGAGTCAGGTGGAGAAGTTCACCTTGAGAGGAGCAGTAGCCTTACATTGAAGGTCAAGGTATCATGAGAGTTCCCATCCCTGCAGTGTCACTGGGGCTTCCCGTTGACTTAGCCAAGCAGAAGCCAAAATATATTCCCCTTCAATGGGGTCCATATGGGTCAACTTCACACAGCAAATAGGGCAGTTGAAAAGGGTGAAGAGTAGATCTGAAGGGGAAAAAAAATTCACATCACCCCAACACAAAGATGATTTCTATCATTATTGATTTCCAGAATCACCCATTCCAAACCAGATAAGGACCCATACAACTTTTATACCTATCTAGGAGAAAAGTCTGTATTTTTTTCTGGTAAAGTGTATCTTTTCCATTATCTAATTATTTTATTTTGTGAGTTGTCTAAGGGGAGGGACCATATCTAACTTATTCATCACACTTTTAGCAGAACCCAGAACAGTGCCTGACACAGATGAAACACTTAATAACTAGTTGTTGGATAAATAAATGCCAGAAAAAATTTCTTGTTTCTGAATTTGACATTTTATAATGTTATTTAAGCCAAGTTCTTCATTATTAATGAATTATTCACTGCTGGTTGTTGGAAATTATCTTCTGAAGGTTGGCTGGACTCTAGTGCTTTCATGAGACACCAGCCCTAGAGGTGAAATCATACTTAACTTGGTTCTTCCCAGGTGTATGGGATTTTACTCATATACAAAGCATAGTTGATGGGAATAATTACAGACATATAAATGGCATTCGAGGTGATGGGATGTTTCCATTCCTGCTCTCTCCAAAATGGTTTTTTTTTCCCTTCAGGTTTATTGAGATTAAACTGACAAATAAAATTGTATGTATTTAAAGTGTACAATGTGACAATTTGATACATTACCACAAATTAATTAACACTTAATTCATCACCTCCCATGGTTACTATAATTACCACGCTCTACATTAGATCCTCAGTCCCCAAAGTTTTCTGAATCCTAAATTGATCATCTCAAGCATCTATACACAGTATGAACTTCCTTGGTCGAAACTTCTCTTCTTTTGCCCGTGTACACCTAGATTATTATTCTTGGAAGCCTTCTCTGATTGACACTCATTCCATAAAAGCAATGATCACATTGAACTGTATTTTTTTCTCTCAAGTGACTGTATTAAATACAAAATTTTGTTGTCTAGCTGTCTGAAGGTTTGGGCCCTGTCTTTTTCATCATGTCTTTTTCATCAAGAAATCCACAACATGAATCTTGGCACTTAACAGAAGCTCAATAAATAGAAGTTGAATTTATTCAGGAGTTCAACATTCTTCTTCCCTTTTCTAGGCTCTTCTGGACATATCCCTAGACTTTGGAGATGCAGCAAGAAAGCTGATTCTCACTCTCTTCTGCTGCTGAATAGAGAGCCTGAAAACGAACACGGTAATGTAGAATAAACTTGGGTTTTAATATGAGACCAAGCGGGGCTCACATCTCAGTTTTGCCGTTTCTAGCTTGATAACCTTGAGTATTATTCAACTTCTCTAAAGTTGCTGAGAGAATGTAATAGGATTAGGTACACAGTAAATTCACTGACATGATAAAATACCAGCTTTCCTTCTTCTATCACCTTCTTTCCCCTTAAGGATATCAAAAATTTTGCTCTGGTTAAAGTTAAAGGATGGGGCAGTGGACTTAAATGGGGGATTTAAGAAACTTCTTGTAATTTTAGAAAACGGGCATGGCATAATGGGAATCAGCACTTTTCCATTAAACTTCCCTTTCCAGGAGATGTGAAGACTTAATCTTAGTACTACTTTAACTAAATGAACAACTGAACAAAATACCACAGGGGTTTATGTACATTCACTCCCCCTTTTTCTCTGCAACCTGGTATTTAGACTCGTTTTCAGAACGTATTTCAGTGAATGGATGTTGGTGTTGAAATGGTGATGTTATACCCTCATTCTCATTCATTCGTGAATTTGTGATCCACCTTTGTGAATCTTTAGATCAATCATGGATATCTTATTCTTGAGCTAACCTGTCCACACGACTTAATAAACACGCCTGAATTGTTCCCCAACCTTACCAGACCCTGCCCCTCAAATGCTGCTCTCCCTCTCTTGCTTATCTCCAGCCACATTAGCTTTCTTTGAGTTCTTTGCAATTTTGCACGACCGTCTAAGTATTATACATAAAATTACGATACATATAAAATTATAATATACATTAAACTTATATAGAAAATTACAATATACATAAAATTAAATATACACAAGAGTAGCCGTCTTACTAATAGCATTAAATTATATCACCCAAATTCTGTTTCTGAAGGCTCGGGATTCACAGTCTGTGGCACGTATAGCATTGTCCCTTTGCCCCTGCTGACGTCAGCAGCCCCCTCTCCCACCATGCTGTCTCTTAAGCCTTTATGCCAGTCAGGCAGAACCTTCTCTTGGCTTCACCAAGGCCTTCTTTTTTATTCTGGAACACGCTCTTACTTCTGTTTATATCTATTGTGCCCCACCTCCACGCCCAATTCCACTTACATCCCCAGGGTCAGTTGCCTCTGCTCACCCTTCAGTTTTCAACTTGAAACAGTCGCTTCTACAGAAGGCTTTCCTGACCCCTCCTAGGGTCACACCCCCTGCTAGGTCATCCATAGCACACTGCCCTTCTCTGGATAGCACTTGCCCTATGTCAATGTTAAAGCTGATTTAAATTTCTTTTTTTAATTTAATTTTTATTTTATACTGGAGTACAGTTGATTTACAATGTTGTGCTGGTTTCAGGTGTACAGCAAAGTGATTCAGTTATACATATACATGTGATTTAACTTTCTGACTCTTTCTCCAGTCTATAAGACCTAAGAGGAGAGAACCTATGGCTGTCTTATTTCTTGTTATATATCCAGTGTCTGGCATAGTGCGTGTTCCATAGAAGATGCTAAGTAAATAATTACCAATTAAAACTCTAAGCTAAAGCCTTAAGGGTATTTGGTTTAGAATGATATTAGTTTCCTTCTGCTGCTATAGCAAATTGCCATAAATTTAATAGTTTAAGATGATGTAAATTTATTATCTCACAGTTCTGGAGGTCAGAAGCCCCCAAATGGGTCTCACCGCACTAAAATCAAGGTGTTGGTGGAGTTATTTAACGTTGGACACTCTGAGGGAGATTTTGTTTTCTTGCCTTTTCCAGCTCCTAGAAGCTTTGGTTTGGGGCCCTTTCCTCCATCCTCAAGTCCAGCAACAGTGGACCAAGTCCTCTCATGCTGCCATTTCTTTACCTCTCTCTTCTTCCTCTCTCTTCCACTTTTAATGACCCTTGCGATTACATTTGAACTATCCAGATAATCCAAGATGAGGCCTTTATTTTAAGTTCAGCTGATTAGTAACCTAAATTCCATCTGCCCCCTTCATTCCCCTTTGCCATGTAACCTAAAGTACTCATAGATTCTAAAAGATTAGAGCATGGGCATCTTTGGGGGCCGACATTCTGCCTATCGTAAGAATGGTACTATTTTATTCACCTTCGTATCTTTAAAATGAGAGGTGAGGTTAGTGGACCTCAAAGGAATTATCTATCTCTGGCCCAAGCAGTAGAGATAATATTAAATTATTAAATGGATGTATTCTACTCCTTTCTTCCTGTAAATTGTGTTTGGCTATAACAACTCCAAGTCACGAGACATAAAACACCAGAAAGAAGAAAGCAGATGCCAACCAGCCAACAATGGCATCATTAGTTGGGCTTGACTCGTAAATGAGTTACTATTTTGTTTTCCTTTTGGGGGCGCCTAGCATGGCTATAGTCTTAAAAGCAGACATTCTTTTTTTTTTTTAAACATCTTTACTGGAGTATAATTGCTCTACAATGGTGTGTTAGTTTCTGCTTTATAACAAGTGAATCAGCTATACATATACATATATCCCCATATCTCCTCCCTCTTGAGTCTCCCTCCCACCCTCCCTATCCCACCCCTCTAGGTGGTCACAAAGCACCGAGCTGATCTCCCTGTGCTATGCGGCTGCTTCCCACTAGCTATCTATTTTACGTTTGGCAGTGTATATATGTCCATGCCACTCTCTCGCTTTGTCACAGCTTACCCTTCCCCCTCCCCGTATCCTCAAGTCCATTCTCTTGTAGGTCTGTGTCTTTATTCCTGTCTTACCCCTAGGTTCTTCATGACATTTTTTTTTTCTTACATCCCATATATATGTGTTAGCATACGGTATTTGTCTTTCTCTAAAAGCAGACATCCTTTAAAGAGAAAAAGTTGTTCTCAATTCTTTAATATCTCATTGGCATATCAAGGTGGAAGGTTGAAAACTGTGCTTTATTCTAAACCATTTGAAATGAAATTCAGGATATGATGTAAGGGATGTAGTTATCACAAAGAGAAGAGCAAAAGCCCATCCCTCCTAGTCCAGTGGCATGTAGGGAGAAAGAGGAAGGTCAATGGGAAACATGTAGTAAAACAGGTATTCTATGACTTTCTGCTTTGTTTAAATCCATAACGAGAATACCCATACAGATATGAGATTTACTAGTCAAGTCCTTAGTGGCAAGATGTATATTCAAGGCTTTGAGCAAAGAAAATTTGATGAAAGGACCACTTACAGAGAGGTGTGGGCAGGATTAAAGGAACCAGTAATAGATGGAGAAGCACCAAGAACTATCAACAGAGGCGGAGGATCAGAAGGGGGAGATGGGTTTTGGGATCCACAAGAGTAAGAGTTTTAACTGTACGCAAGAGGGTCATTCAACAGGAGTTGTGGCCATTGATAGAAGAAAGAGCCACTGTCAAACTATGCCCCTGCAGGGGGAGTGTGGAGGGAACACCTCCACTTTTCTCTCTCCCCACCTCCTGATCTCCAACTGGTGCCGCTCTCTAATTTGGCAAATTCAAACCTGGAAGCCATAAGGCAAGTGAGACTGTGATCTGGTCTATAAAGGACAGTCCCCCAGGAAAAAATAACAGGAGCAAATGGAGAATAACTCACATAGAATAGAACTAACATCTGAACATAGGGGGTTATGCCGGGGCATAACCCGGGTGAAACTTCACCTTTAGGTTGGCACCATGACAAAGGGGTACACAAATCCTTGTCTAAGAGCGGACTTCTGGGGAACTTAGCCCCAAGCACGGATGGAGCTGGGTTTCAAACCTATTTGCCTTCCTCCAAAACCCATGTTATTATCTACCACCACCTAATGCTGGCTCTTGTTGTCAGATCCTCAGGAGAGAACCTGCTGGAGCAGCATTTCTTTTTTCCAGTCTGATCTCCAAATGATGGAGTACCATTTAATTCTTGCAGGAGAATCTGAAGGTTTTTTTTTTTTTTTAATGGCATTTCCTCCATACATCAATTCAGTAGAAAAACACTATAGGAATGCAGTTTCAATATTTTTATGAAATGGATCCAAGACTAAAAGAATACCACCTAACAGAATTGCTGAGTGCTGATGAGTTTGAAATCTTAATTTTCCTAAACTGTACTAACTGGGTTCAAATTTTTACCTTGCCTCTTACTGTATTATGACTCTGGAAAACTGTTTGAATTGATTGTACCTCATTTTCTGTACCTGTGAGATTGAGGTAAAATAAGATAGCTTTTAGGATTAAATATTTTAATACAGCTAAAGTCCTTACAAGAGTGGTTGGTATATATTAAACAAGACTCAGTAAATGTTATTATTACATGTCTTAACAACAACACCTTCTGCTTTTATTCAAGAAACTTTTAGTGAGCCACCACTCTACGGGAAGACCTATAAGAAATGGTTTCTGTACTTAACATCAGAATTTGGTAGGAAAAACAGACTGTCAATATAAGGTGGTGCATGACAAGACAGAGGGAGTCATAGAGGTCTGGGTTATATTACCTACCATCATTTGTTGGTGTTGTCACAAATTCAGACTGGCCAGACATTGGTTGAGATGTGAAATAGGCAAGAAGGAAAAACCAAATTTTGTTAAATGTTACCTCTAGCGTTTATGATTAATATGGCAGTTGTTCCTTATTTATGATTGGTTAATTATGCTTTTGAATTTTTGTTTCTTTAAGGTTTTATCTTACTTTTTAAAAAGTCTTTCAAGAAATAACTCTGGTTTTATGGACTTTTCACTAGGGCAGCAGCCCAAAGACACAGGTCCATTTGCTGGCACTACAAATGACTAGCTTTGTGATGCTGGACCATCCTCTCTGAGCATCTGCATCTATAAAATGAACCTGACATCCACCCTTTCTGCTGCCCTAGTAGAACATTATGAGGACCAATAAGCTAAATGGATGTGCTAGTAAGAGTGTTAAAAACATAAGACTTAGTGCAAATGTAGAGAAGGAAGTTGTCACCCCATGATATACCCTGAGATAAGACTATAGTTGTTCAGGACACAGGGTTTGGATTTCAGATATACTTGGGTTTGAATCCTG